TTGTTCCGAAGGAAGTTATGGCGAATAGAATTTGAAAGCGCGTGATTTTTCCAAAATTCACCAACGCTTCTAGCTCCTTTGAAAAGAAGTCTGAGCCTACTGTTCAGCGCGGAATAATCCACAAGAACTTACTTACTTAGATACTTAGATGGCCCGTCCTTCTGTACTGGGGTCCTCACGTGACGTGCGGGCCCCAGTACAGAATTGCCATTGATCCCTGTCCCTCGCTTCGGACATCCACGATCTTCTTGGTCGTCGTCGGTGGCTGCGTCCACGAGTTCCAGGGGCGAGAATCGTATCCAGCTGATTTCTCAGCTGGTCCATCCGTTCCACGAACACGTCTGCCCATCTCGTCGGTGGTCTTCCTCGAGGACGTTTGGTTTCGCGAGGAATCCACTCAGATGTTCTTAATGTCCATCTATCGTCCGTTCTTCTCATTATGTGACCGGCCCATCGGTGTTTCGCTTTCGCAACGTATTCCGCTGGGTCACGAAGACGGGACATTCTTCTCATATCCGTGCTGCGAAGTCCGACTAGATGTTGCTTGTGTCGGGTCATCTTCAGAAGACTGCGCTCGAGCGCTCTGTGGGTGGTTCTTAAAGCTTTCAACGTGGCTACGGTGCCGGCCCAAGTCTCAGCTGCGTAGCAGAGCGCTGGGAGAACGGTTGAGTCGAACAGGTGGGCACGGAGCTCCGGGTCCGTCAGTTGGTCGGTGGCTTCCTTCAGAGGCCCGAAGGCGGCCCAAGCTGCTCTTCTTCTCCTGTTAAGTTCTTCCCTCAAGTCGTTCTCCATGTTCATCGAACGTCCGAGTTACACGTATGAAGACGTATCCATGATAGGGGTGTCTTCTAATTCCATTTCTGCATCTTCGCAAAGGGCGTTCTTCATGAACTGAGTCTTCTTCCGATTTATTCGCAGTCCGATCTTTTTCCCTACTTCGTTTAGTTCCTTCAGCATCGCCTCTGCTTCAGTGATACTGCTCGAGAAAAGGACGATGTCATCCGCAAAACGAAGGTTGGATAGGAATCTCCCATCAACTCGTATGCCTCTCTCTTCCCAGTCTAGTGACTTCATCACCCACTGCAAGGCCGCGGTGAACAGCTTCGGCGAAATAGTGTCGCCTTGTCGAACCCCCTTCCCAATTGGAATGGTTAGGGGGCGGTGGAATAGCTGCATCGTTGTTGTACAGTCCTTTAGCAGTCGGCTAGTGTCCTCACGTAAGCTGATCCTTGATCCTGATCCTGAAGCTCCTTGATCGACTAGCGCAGACAGGATGGCATTGGTTTCGACGCTGTCAAAGGCTTTCTCGTAGTCGACGAAGGTTAGGACGAGAGGCAGAACATCCACAAGAACAGTTTATCGAATAGTACTTAGTAAAGTCTTCTATGTTGGGTAGGCGTTGCTTCACATATCCGCGAAAGGACCTCCGCAGAACAAATTGAAAAAACTGAAAACGGAATATCGAAGACATCGTACCCCCACTCCCAATATATCAGAAGATTCTCCGCGCCGAGCTGAATCGATGGTGGCTTTGGATTCAGAATTCGTCCACTCTGAAGCGAGATATGGCCACGCGACGCTGATGTATGGACATGTCCGTACATGTCCATACATGTCCATACATTCGCGTCTATTTTTCAAAAAATGTGAGCGGCGGTATTGTAGATAGAAACCGTTTAGCTCGACGTTTGGTGCGACTTGTGGGATTTGTGGCATGCACAAAATGAATCACAGCAGAATGTATTTCTTGGCAGAAGCTAAAAACGGTTAGTAAAGCACAAAACCACTAGTCTTCTCTACAGTATAGGTGGTGTTTCCACATTTCAGAGTTTTCAATGAGTTATAGGGGAAGATACGAAGCTTGCGAGAAGCAGTGACATTTCAAAATCTCCTCAGAATGTGCTTCGGTTGTAACCCGAAGCATCTGCCTTCAAAATTCGTTACCATAATTTGAAACTGGGAATAATGTCCAAAGGCTATTAAGATGTACAATCGTCAGTCAAATTATTCATCCTTCTTATTAGGATTGGGTCTACACAAAATCAAGAACCTGCAATAATAAACTTCATTTGGTGCAAGCCACTGTTCTTGAGTTCATAAATATCGACACTTGTCATGATTGCGCACAAAAAAATTCTCATTTCCTTTCCTTGATCCTAATCCAAAGTAAAGTCGGTCTATCCACCTATTAATAACCAGTGCGTCACCTCTGCTTCGCAGAGGCTCGCACTGGCCCTACTTTCTGTATGCTTTGCTCGTTCCCGCATAATAGTGACATTGAAACTTACCGCGCTAAGCAGGCTATCACGAATGAATTGTAAACAACTACTCATTCCGAAAGCTTTTTTGTGTGAGATCGGTATTTTCGCGTGGATGAAACTTTTCCGAGAATTATAAACGCAAATTTGAACCGATTTTGGACTGTTTATGGTTTGGTAGTCGCCATAACGACGATAATCACCGTGGGCTACATCTCTGTGCAAAAATCTTCCCAAATGATTAGGTAAAATCTTGGCAAATTGAACATTTACGCAACTGATTTTTCTCGGCGCCATTTTTGTAAAGTAATCAACTTTAGTTTCAATTTTTTGGGCTAAAATCCATGGCTTGCACGTTAGTTTGTTAATCTTATCCATGACTTTGCAAAAAGTGGTGATACAGGCCCAACTTTGCTGGCCAGAAGCCAAGTGGATCTATTTGCGGCGCAGTTTTTGAGAAATCCACTCAACGGACCCGCTCGTGCTTTTGCATAGCGGACTTTCATGCTGCTAGCATACGCCGTGCAAAATTTGGGCTCAAGAGGTTGGCTAGAACTCGCTCTGCGAATTTCGTAACGGCCAGACACACACACAAAAACACGTAAACAAACCTTAGCCCGTTATTATAAGTCATGATGTTATGAGCAGTTACTGATGTAGAAAATGAACACGTGTGCGAGATGCACGGCAACGGTCGTTTACGACTTTTGCAAAAGGCTAAGGCTTGCCTTATGTTTGAACAGCTTTAGGCGAATGAGCAGCGGAACCTATAAAATAAAAGTTCCATGATTTCTTTGTAGTCCTCTTCTCCTTCTCTTCTTTTTCTTTTCTTCTCTGCATGTGAATTTTATTTATATTATTAGTAGACCCAACACGCTGTTATGTTAACTTTGCCTATGGCCCACATTCACTTGCTGCAGCCAGTCAGCACAACAATAAATTTGTTCTTACACTTGCAGATTGGTAATGTAGAGAATTATAAGCTTACGCACTGTTTTCTGTGATTTAAGAGCATTATATCACTAGTAAGCAGTTTAGAACTTTTTTTGTTTCTGACCTTCATTGCGATTTAGACGAAACAAGCAGAAAGAACTGAACGTTCCCGAAACATGTAGAAGGGGAACCAAACGCTGACGTCATTATTCAATTTCGTTGAAAAATAATCAGTGCTCAATCGTATATCATTGAATGCCTTGTAGAGACAAAAGTTTTACTAGAAACGACGATGGTCCTCCTACTACCTCTGCTTCTTCTTGGTATGTGTGGCACAGCTGAATCATTGTTGGAAAGGAAAAACGCAGTAAGGTAAATAACCATGTCACATTGGTGACGCGGAGAGGTAACTTTTGTTTTAGGAAATCATTTTTTTGTTCACAGTATGGAGAATGCGTGCTAGTTCCCAAGAGCTTTTCCAAGCAGTACAAGACTATAGAAGAATGCGAAAAGGCATGCAAGAAGCATACTGATGCATTTGGACAGGAAACGATAGACAAAGGAGACAAGAACAAGGACAAAGATTACAACAACAAGGACAAAGATTACAACAACAAGGACCATTATTACAAGAACAAGGACCAAGGATACAAGAACAAATCTCCTCTTCTTTATCGATCTTGAACATAAACTTTCCAAAGCATTTTACTTGGTACCTTTCTGATAATCCGGCAGAATCCTAATTTTTAGAAAAAGGGGGGTAGGCGTCTGCAACATTTGTCTAGCTTGCACCAATGACGGTAGATTGGATAGATGTTGTATGCTTTTACGAAGACAGTTACCAAATTCTTTATATAATTTTATATGTATTTACTCTCATTTTTTATTAAAAAAAACCCACCCTTACGGCAGCACACCGAGATTCCGACACCAACAGTTGTGTTTATGATAAGTGAACTTCTACTTTCCATCTCTAATTCTGAACGGAGATCTTTAAGCAACCCGTGTCTCCATTGACTGAGCTCTAGTCTGCATAATCCGATACGACTTTCTTTTGATAAATATTCCAGAAAGCACTATTTTTGAGAATGCTGGTTACAATAATATCTTAACTAGCATCTTTGAGGACTGCAGGACTTGTCAAGATGAAATAGGCTAAAATGCGAACTCCACGTCATAAAAATAGTTACCGTATTTTGCCGCTATAGAAAATAACTTCAATTTCACCTTCATCAGCTCCTTAGCCAGTTTCACAAGAACATTCATGTTTTTAGCGACCTTGTAAGTAGAGCAGAACTGGTCCAAAATCGAAATTGAAAAAATGACTTTTTCACGTATTTCAAAATCACTCGTCTTGTCCAGTGTTCTATATCGTAGAATACAATCTGGCATTTGTTGCGATGTTGTTTTTCTTGATTAATTGTGAAGGAATATTTCAACGACAGAGTATCTATCAGTCATCAACTCAGCACATCGAGATTCTATCGCTGTTTCAGTTGTGCGATAGAACAAAAAAATCGGGATGAACATGACTCAAACTGTTTTTAAGAGGGTTTCTTTCATTTTCTTATAAACGGTTCTATTCTTTCAGAGCAAGTCGCTCGAAGTTGTTTGGGAAAAGGGTACCTGCAAGTCGTAAAAGTTGCCCTCCCAAGTGCCTCGTCTTTGGTACATGTTACTATAGAAATCGACCGGAATAACATTTTTATCATTTACACTCGGTTTTTTTTTTCAATTGTTACAATATTCACGCTTTGCATCTTCATGAATGCCATACGCTTTTTCGGGCTTGATAATGAAATTGAATAAATGGGGAAACATTAAAGTTTATGTCCACGATACAAAATCACATAAATAAAGGCATAAAGTCAATTGCAACCGGTTTTATGGTATAAGTGAAAGCCTAGCGGGCAAGTTAAAGCTTTGCAGCCTGCGTGTCGGTAGATTGCTTAGCCTGAGCTTGGGCATTTCGTTGGATCAGTGCCAACATCACTTCGACCATTTCGTCCATTCCATATTCGATATGCCATCCCCAGTCCTTCTTTGCTTCAGAATCATCCAGTGAGTTGGGCCACGAGTCAGCTGTAACAAATTGATTTCGCCAGAACATTTTGAAAGTATTTGGAAGCCTGCCAAACACAAGTTTTTGGCTTCCGTGTTTTGCTGATGCCCTATATTGCCTTAATCGAACCACTACATGAGGACCTCGTCACAGACTATGATTTGATTAAATCACCGATAGATCACCTCATGCGGAACGCAAGATCAGTCACACTACTTTGAACGTTCGCTCATGAGACAAAGTGAATCAAACAACGACTGATCTTCGTTTTGTCTCAAAGTGAGACAAGTGCTAAGAGGACAAAAAATTAAGGAGGGTCAATATCAGCGCATGTGCAGGTCTACATTGTCATTTCTAATGAGCGAAAACATTTCTGACACTGACCTATTCCTTGTCGAATTGGGCAGATCTCATATTCAATCTCAAAATGAGGCATCACCTGAAATATGGTTGATTATACTATAAAGGGCACAACTTTTTGTTCCTTTCTCCAGATTCTGATTTTTTTTTCAGTGATTAAGATGGAACGATTGTTGTCACACAAATCTTGTCAAAAAACGAGAAATATCTACCGAGTGTTTTTCAATAGATACCTTTCAAAAGTAAAGCTCTATAATTTTCGAATGCAAAATCTTGCAAGTATTATGTAATGAATTCCTATTTATTGGAGATTTTCTAGTAGATAACGATTCGTCACCAAATACCTTGCTTAAAGTTACAAAAACTCTTCCACATTCCAGTAATGAAATATTTCTAGGAAAAATTTCTTTGCATTCCTAATTAGATATTTGCACATTATTCTTCTTTTAAAATTAACCTTGGTCTACTTACAAGGGAAGGATAGTTGGATGCCGCGGCCATTCCTAATGATTTGTATACCAAAAAATGCGCCTTCGAATGCAGATTCTGAATCTGTGCTCAAAATCTGCGAAACGATCTTTTGAAGAAAGTTATGAACTTTTTTCCTTGAAATTTTAGCCTACTTTTGAATAGTAAAAATCACCAGATTTGATCTAGCCTACCGTTTGATGCTACTGAAGAAGATTTTAGACGTAGTAATATTTATTTAGACTATCTGGATCATACTCAGCATTTGGAAAGGAGAGAAAATTTTTTTATTGATGATTTTGACCCTCCGCAGGAACGCAATTTTTTTAATAAAAAAAATCATAACTCCATTCAGATTATCGTTTCGCAGATATGAAAGACAGTCTACGAACCAGCATTCAAAAGCGCATTTTTTGGTATACAAATCATTATGAATGGCTACGGCATCCAAGTATCCTTCCCCTGTTAGAAGCCAAATTTTCTGCCATAGCGCTACCAGTGCACTGAAGACTATTTCTCATCAGTCAGCAATATGAAAAAACGCCTTTTCTTCACAAAACTCCAGTAATTTTCATAGATAGTCAATCAATACTTTGGCCAAAGAAGTTTCTAAATTTTCACCAGATAACACGTCTTACCTTCTTGATAGCAGCAGCTATCTCCGCAGGTGTAAAAGAAAATCCAGTGACATTGTACACTCTGTGAGTGAGCGACTTAGCAGGAGTAGCCAAGAACTACAAAACCAGTTCGTTTACCTTTGATTCTACGAGGCCGGTAATCATAATATTTTACCTGTACTACAGAAGCCATGCAGTCTGTATCATACATCATCGGTAATCGTGTATCGGGTTTCAAATAGCAAGTATGTTTTCCCTTCTCCAAGGCGTCGTAGAAGATTTGGATGGCATAATCTAGAAAAAGATTCGACAAATCGTCAAAAAACTACTAACTTTCTGTGTGTGGAGTGCAAAGCACAGCATCATAACCATAATGTATTAGTGAGGCAAAAATGCTTGGTTAAACTTGTATTATTAATCTAAAGCCTATTTTGAAAAAAATGAGCAAATTTGTCATGTCAGAAAAACTCTTCATCATCCTTTTTCAAATTCTGTCAATGAGTTTCCATGTTGTCTTTATTTATTTTTTGAGGAAGTGAAAGTAGGAGAATCCCAAATCAAGTGACAGAAGATCAGGAGCACATTTTGATTTGTTTCTACACTTTTTATAAAAATCTTTTAGTTATAGACTAAGCCATACTCCTCTCTTCACTAAATAAATGGACATTTCCTTCTTTCGCAAAACAGTTCGCAGCGATCCTCCGGTTTTTATGTTCTATTTCCGCTTTGGAATGGAGAAGCAAAACGCTGGATAGCCCATTATTCTTGCACGGCAAGAAAAAACCCAAGGCTATCTCTTTCTTATTGAATGAGGCACATGCGCAGAGAATGGGAAATGAAGGAATGCGGAGAAAAAATGTAGCCAAGGTTTGTAAAAAAACTTTCACTCACTAATTTTTTAGCGAGTGGTAGGAAGCATTCTTCGAGCTTTCAAGTTCTTCAGCTGTACTCACCTGTAGTTCCACCTCCTGGCTTTGTGGCTGAGATAATGCCTGGGAAGCGCAGACTTCGGAAATCAACTCCGAAACGATGATGATAGTATTCTCCTAGTCTTTCGGCGAAGACCTAAAAGCTGTTAGTGCTATCTCATTTTCGAGGGTCCAATTCCTTACAGTACCTTAGACACTCCATAAATGGTTGTGGGGCATTGAATAGTGACATCTGGCACATTGTCGGGAGGGGTGGTGGGGCCGAAAGCGCCAATAGTTGACGGGATGAAGATTTTTAGATTGTGCCTCCTAAAAAAACGCTTAGCTGATACTTCTTGTATTTCCTCATATATTTTTCCAGGCCCCTTCTATCTAACCAAAACCTAGCCCCCTCACCTTCCTCCCGTTCCCCCCTCCACCTTTCCCCGTTCTTTGTTCTAGTGTAAAACTAATACCAAATACAGAAAACCACATGTGTTGCGGTAAGCGATTGTCTCCATTTCCGCCACCGGTTCTTAGCCACGTGGGAGACCGAGAAACGACCAAAATGACTAATCAAATTAGCAATCGCTGACGACAATGGACATCACGGCGATCACAAAATCATCCTTGACCGATGTGTTCTATGTGTAAGAGAGGACTGATGGTTAACTAGACGAAAGTTCGAAATGAAGCAAAAAGGAGGAAAACCAAGCAAAGGAAATCCTTCTAAACGGCGAGATTATTTCGACCCAAAATAATGCCAGTGAGACATTTGATGTTTGAAATCCAGTTTCAGAAGAAAAGACATAAATTCTAGCCATTTCAAGCATTGGTGCAATTGCACAAATTCTGAAGCTCAAGACCAAGAGAAGCATAAGTTCTGGAAAAATGTTTTCTTCATGTCTCGCCATTGAATCTTATCCTTTTCAGGCGTCGAGACCAATTTCCAGTGAGGAATCCCAAAAACATGTCTCCACACCCAAAAGGGCCAAAAATAACGATAGACGCGCAATGAGTACATTGTGTGCAAAACAGATGAGCATGCTAGGTTGTGCTTAGTTGACCACTATGAGATTATGGTAGATATTGACGGCAATAACATCCATTTTGGAAGTATAGTACGTTTATCTAACACTACCGTATTCCTTCTAACGTACTATTGTCGTAGGACATCGTATTCTGATGCAAAATACGACTCGGCATTTCAAAATTTTGTCTAAATCTTCTTAATCTTTCCAAGAAAAAAGATGTTACGGCTTTTTTATCTTGCTCACTCAATTTTTTGCCATTAGAAGCTCTTAACAGCTTTCTCTGCCAAACTTATTCCACAGAGCCACAGATTTGGAGTCAGCCTTTTTTGCGCTCTAAGATAAGAGACTTCCAATCCTGGAAACCCACTCTAGCCTACTACAAAAAACCAGATGGCTACCTATTAGTACCTAGTAGCTCTAACCCTTACCTTTATCATCCAAGTAAGCAAGCCTTATAACGATATGGAAGCTATACATACATGTATTAATACATGGCAAATAATTCATAGATTATGTTATGTTACCGTACCCCACCTCATAACTACCGTATGCCCACCATGTCAGCATAGTATAAGACTCACTTCGCTACTTCCAATACATTTTCTACTCCATGGCAGTTGACTTGCAGAGCTAATGGTACATTTTGTTCACCGATGGCACTGAGAAGTGCTGAGTAATGCACAATCGTATCAATTCCTTTGTCTACTACCATCTGTTCAATTCGTTCTCTGTTAAGAACATCCAGATAGGCGTAGTCAGCTGAAAGAATTTTTTTTTTCAGACCGTATCAGGCTTACAAATAATGTAAGTCTACTCACAGACATCAACTGCGTTCGTAGGTAATTTGACGATATCAGTCATGGTGACGCATCCTTCTCCATACATGTACCTGAAGGCAATTAATTTCAAACAAAGATAAACCATTAGATAAATTTTCTGTGAAATTTGTCACACAATTTAGAGTTTTTTACTTTGTTATCTTCGCTCCTTTTTGATTACTTTACTCTTTTTGCCGTAAACTTTGTAGCCATTTGAATTTGATACATGATCTCAAGCTTTTTTTCGCTGCAATATAAATTTCCGCAACGAATTTATACATCAAATAAACAGGCAAGAAAATTATCTGAAATATCTGAGGAATTCTGAAACCCCTTTCATATGTTAATCGCTCATCGTACACTGTTCTTTTCTTAACTAAAGGCAACACTGGACGATGATGTTATCGAATTGAATACATGTAGATGTGTCATCCTCTTTCGGAAGGATTGCTCATTTGTCACGAAAACAAGGGGAAAGGAAACGGCAAAATTTCTTTTTCAGCGATTATAGTCACCTTTTCGTTTCGCGACTATTTCATGAGGGTCAGCACAGTCAGAATTTTTGAAGGTTCAAGGAAGAAATGGCAAATAACAGCAAATTATGACAATATACTCGTTTTTTCCGCTAAAAAACCTCTAAGAAGCGCTAAGCTGATTTTTCTGGATTTTTTGAGCCCATATTTATACTTACTTATAAACCGTGTTCAGCCCACGTCCGAGTTGTCCAAGCGAGCCAGTTATGAGCACACGGGGTGGCTCAGGGTTGGCTGAGGCAAGCGCCTTGAACCTGGCCAGTGGGTCAGGCTGAAAAATGTTATAAATTGCTTTGAAAGATTTGTGAATTTTTGCGTAATTTTAGGCTCAGAAAGTTGAAATTGAGTTTCTAAGAAAGAAACAGCGGTATGAGCCCCATTTTTCTTTTTTCAAATCAGTTTCCTAGGAATGTACGTCCCAACGATTTGTTAATATCTCTTGCTCATAAAAATGGCATTTTGAAAGGGTTGAAATATTTTGTGTGTAGGCCACTTACTGGCAAGGCGTAGTTCCTTTTAGTTGTGACATTCACAAGGCTGACAGCATTTCTAAGTAGCTTGCGTGGGGCAGATGCCATTTCTACGAAGGAACAACCGAAAATTCGGAGTAGTCACCTGAAAAAGTAATCTGAGTGGGAGTTGCACGAAATGAGGAAAACAAGGAACAGTAAAGGAATCTTTTTTTCATTTCTGAAGAAGCAAGAAAAGATGTAGTTTATTGTCGTGAAGTTAAGCCAAAAGCAAGCTCGCAAAATATGTTTTAGGCTCATTTTGAAATAAGCGAGTTTTTCGCTACTTTGTTGTACCACTACTGTGTTTAAAAAAATGGTCTGTACATTTATTATTCAATTTTTCTCCGTGTATCGTTAATCAGCAGTCTGAAGATTGGAAATAAATGTACAGACCATTTTTACTGGAATGAATAATATGTATTAATTTCACTCATTGAGATTTGGTTCGGGTCTGATTAGGCATAAAAGATTCTTTAACATTTAAAATACTCATCTCCGTCACACTGCTACATGTAAAAGAATGGTCTGTGAGTAAGATTTATCTACTAGAAATTGAATTTCTTTGAAATTTACGTAACTAGTCATTGTTAGAACTAAAAAGAAGAGAAGCAAAAGTTGCATCTGTAAAAGACAACCGAAAAATTCAGATACTCATTCAGTGGAAGAAAAGGAACAGAATTGACTCAGAGTACCTTTATGAGTTCCACACGCTTTACAGAACATAAATTATGTCAATGAACAGATGCCTAAAAACTTCGAAAGATTTTCATAAAAGAATACTACTGCTCTTAGCAGACTTTGCTGACAAAAAGCGCGATCTAGCAATGCTAGGAAAACCGGCTGGACTGCGCACGCGTAATGATTTCAACGAAACAGAGTAGTCTAATCAAATCGCACACACATACATACAAGGAAGTTGCTTTCCTAGCTATCTCTCAAAAAATTTCAACAGCATTTCGTCAAGACAATAATGATACTTCTAGTGCGGAATAAGTGGCGTTTAGGGGCTTCAAATAAGCACAGTTTCGATGACTTTAGAAAAATAAGATTTTCATGAGTTCTCAGCATCTCAAGCTCTTGAAATCATGATAAGGCCATTACCGTAATGACAGTAGATATGAGAGAGAGAAGAGATCTTCATTCGGGAAGCAATTGAGAGACAATTCTGGAAATCGAGCATTTCTCTAATCACGAAAAAAAAGAGAGGATGACGTTCCACTACTGCTCTCCCCCCTCCCCCTTCTCTAATGGGACCCGAGACCCGAGATACAAAAGGCGTGCGATTACGGTAGAGTACTAGCGCACGCAGCGTAACGCACAGTGCTTCCTACAATTCCTCTTCCCGCGAGGGGCGGTGCTTCCCTCGACATTCCAGTGTTGATAAAAAAAACTTCCATCGACATCTAATGTATAATGAACCTCATGCGTGATTGATCGCTACATGTGGTTTCGTATTCAATGTGCGCAGCAGGTGACCGGGTAGTCAATTAGGGAAAAAATTCGCTTAGGGATTGATTTACTGACCAGAGAAAATTACATAGCAAAAGAATGTGTCAGAAAAGAAGTCGCTTTGAAGATTCTATTAGGTCGTTCCGAAAGTAATGTCGCTTCTTTCAAGTGAACGCTACATTTCATGGAAGCAAGGTTTCTATAAGATCTTGATAGCATTCGATGCATCATTTCATCCTCTTTCTAATGGCTATAACTTCACTGCAGAATACTCAATGGGCGTTTGAAAAATTACTAAAATCTCCAACCCATGCTTTTTGGGAAGGTCAAGTTTCACAATTTTTCTAACCTTTTGTAATAATTCCCGAAAGGAGTCCAAGTAATGGATGGATAGAGCAAACCCTATAGGAAACAGTACCATTTTTTTCTGCTTTCCAGATCTCGTCATAAGTTTTGTAGAGATTTTTCAATGAAGTCACCGAATTTTTGCAGGCTTGTCTCAAACACGCATGCATCAAACACCAATAAACTTTCGGATTCTGAAACTTACAAAGATGGATTATGGTTTAACACTAATTTTACAAAGCATATGAGCATTCATCGCTTCAGATTAGCAACTTTCGGAAATTTCGGGTACAGCCTGGGGCGCCCTGGAAAAGTTGAATTATAATAATTTTACCCGGAAAACGTGATGAATCAGAAACAAAAACAAGTGGTAGAAAGAGGAGAAAAAGCTGCGTCGAATGACACCCGAGTTGCTTGCCGGTCATTGTTCTGTGAGGTTTGAGTTGACCATATATGGAATTTGATGGAACTGAAAAATTGACTCCAGAAACTTTAAGAAGCAAGCTAAGGAAATGAGAAAATTACTCTATGTCCTATAGAGTTAGCTCTATCAACCTGTCGCTTGCTCTTCTTTTGAAATTAGGTACAAAAATTTAGAAAAATAGCCGAACTTGACCATGGCAAAAAGCACGTGTCGCAGATTTTGGTAATTTTTCGAGAACTCATTTAACATTATGCAGTGAAATTAAAACCATTAGAAAGAGGATGAGATGCTGCATCGAATGCTTCTAAGATCTCTTGAGAATGTTGATTCCACGAGTAGTGGCGTTCATTCGAAAAAAGCGACATTACTTTTGGAACGACCTAATATTTTTGCAAACAGATAGAAGCGGAAAGAACTAAAAAGCTTTCACTTTAAACATCCCGGAGTTTTGACGCTGAGAAATTTCATTACTTTCAGTTCATCCCTCGAAGTATCCAAAATCAGTCTAGGCATCAGAAGAGATAGTAACTTGAATGTTCCAATTTGTTCAAACCTGGGAATTGTACATATTCTTCAATTTTGCTTATGCCGAACAGGTTTGTTAGAACTGACTTCCTGCCATTCGCTATGTGAGCTGTAGATAGTAAATAGACTTTATCTGTCTTTCGTAGATAAACCCTCTATCTGCCCTCCAGAGTATAACTCAATTGTCCGCTTGTCACGTATTTCCGGTCGTGCTGCCACTTCCTTCCGGCGCTGACACTTTATATTGCGGCGGTGTAGACGGTGAATTCATCTCGGCTTCGAGAATTCTTACGGATTGGACTAGATAAAGGTCGAAACTACCTAAGCTAGAAGAGACATTTGGTGGTCTGGTGTCGTGGATGGTGCTTTTTGTCGTTTTTAGGTCTATAAAACGGTGAACGCGCCGAAACGTTAGGCCATTCGAATAATGATCCCACCTTAACAAATCTGTTTGGCACAAGCAAAATTGAAGAAGAGATAGTTTTTTTGCGGTTCCAGGCACATTAAAATCAGAATTTTTCTAGTAATGGCTCTACTGCCCGACGGATTTTTCGCTGTGAATGAAAATCAGCATGTTTATAGTACTCCAAAAGGTGTTATCCTGAACTGAGAACATTATTTGGATGCTAAATTCTTAGCCAAGGCATATAGGGCACAGTCCTGACATAGTCCTTCAAAGGTACTTAACGCAGGTACAACTAGTTTTTTGTAACTCCCCATAGCAAATTAATCAATGTCATGTTTGCGAGTTTTTTGGCTTGAAAAACATGAAATTATGAACTCACAATTCTTCTTTTTTTTTGAAAAACGTGAAATTGAGAACTTGCAAAAATAGAAGTGTAAGTTGACTCATATTTCTTTACATCTTCGTATCTGTTAGTGGAGGAGAACCGTGCATTATGTTGTGAATTGTTACGTATAAAGACGGTCACTAATGTAGTGAATTATATTACCATTCCATAAAAATGCGGCATTTTGAGACAAAAGAAAAAGAGAAAAACGAAGGAGAAAAGGAGAAGAGACAGAGCAGAGTTCTCAGAACTGAACCAAGGCCTGAGTTCTAATCAGAAAATTAATGCTTGTACTGATGAGTGAACCCTTGCATTGCCCTTTATATACCAGCTTGAGTGAAGCTTCAAAATAGCAGAAAAAGTAAAGCGAAACCAGGATGACGTTCCAATCTAAGCTCTTCACTCATATGACATCAGGTAACATCACTGGACTATTTATCGGATGTGACTTCTGCTGTTTAGATAAATATCTATACAGTTAAAAAAGCACTAAAGTGACCAACGATACATTGGAGTCACGTAACCCATAAACAAGTGAGCTCATTCATCTTCTTACTTGCTACAAAGTAAGTGCCTTACGAATAGTGTAGAGATACTATTCATTTAAGAAGGTGACACCATCGGTTTTTACGTGCAAGTGTAGATATTTAAAAGGATAAAACATAAAAGATCCGACGTCTTCAATATTCTCCGTGGCATGCGCCAAACGCACTCTAGCACATAGTTGAAGATGCTACTGAGTTGCGAGCCTTTTACATGACTTGCGAAGGTCAGCCTAATACCAAATGCTTTTATCCTCCGAGATCACTCTGCTACCAAATTACTAACCCAGACAAAGAGGGTTTGATTGGCTCAGGGGCGCGATCGAATCTGTGTCCGGACTATTCGTAATGGCGCCTCATACCACTGCACTAGCGCTCACATTTTTTGAAGAATAGACGCGAATGTACGTACATGTCGCTACATGTTGAGATGCTACATGTCGCCTACATGTATGGACATCACCGTCACGTAGCCATATCTCGCTTCAGAGTGGACGAATTCTGAATCCAAAGCCACCATTCGATTCAGCTCGGCGCGGAGAATCCTTGATTTATTGGAAGTGGGGGTACGATGTCTTCGATATTCCGTTTCCAGTTTTGTCAAATTCTTCTGCGGAGGCCCTTTCGCGAATATGTGAAGCAGCGCCTATCCAGCATAGAAGACTTAACTAAGTACTTCGATAATACTGTTCTTGTAGATTATTGTGCGCTAAAAATAGGCTCGGATTTCCAAAGGAGATAGAAGCGTTAGTAAAGTCTGGAAAAATCACACGCTTTTAAATTCTACTCGCCATAAATTCCTTCGGAATAAGTATATTTTGAATCCGAAAATAGCGCCGTAATCAGCTTATCAGGGCGAATCTTTTTATTACACCTGTCCTTGATATTTCGATTTCAGTATTCTTGAATCTTTCTGCGGACGCCTTTTCGCGAAGGTGTGAGCAGCGACTCAGCAGTCGGTGCCGTAGTCGCGGCGGGGAGTCGAAATCTGGCGGAGCAGCGGAGGACCCAATTGACCAATGAGAGCGGGGCGG